TGTGTGTGTGTGTGTGTGTGTGGTGTGTGTGTGTGTGTGTGTGGTGTGTGTGTGTTTCCAGATTTCCGTGGACTTGATGGCTGTGTGTGTGTGTGTGTGTGTGTGTGTGTGTGTTTCCAGATTTCCCCTCTTGATGGCAGTGTGTGTGTGTGTGTGTGTGTGTGTGTTTCCAGATTTCCCCTCCATGAGCTTGTATGTGTGTGTGTGTGTGTTTCCAGATTTCCCCTCCATGAGCTTCTCAAGGATGGGTCCGTGGGAGGGGGAAGGCCGGGTTATAAGGTGTGGTCACTTTAGAGACCCTGGCTACTCATCAAACTGCCCTCCTGCCATGCCACTGCCTCCCCTGATTTCCTCACAAAAGACCAGTCAGTCTTGGTGTTTCACAGCAGCTACGTGCACCTCGAACCCCAGCTCCCAGTGGAGACAAGGCAGCACCCCTCCTTTGAGCCTGGCAGCCTGCCTGGCCACCCAGGCAGAGCCCTTACCAGGACGGCCAGCTATTCAAGGTGAGTCAGCTTGTCAGGGGCGGCACCACCCTGCCCAGAGCCGGCAGCCAGCCAGCAGGAACTCCAGCTGGGACAACAAGGGCCACCACCTTCTCGGGGAACACTCTCAGTGGTGGCCGGAGGACAGAGGTCGAGACACCACCTGGCCGCAGGTAAGCCCCGGCCCCTGGCCCCTGTGTGAGGTGGGGCTGGGATGGGTAGCCCACCCGCTCTCACCTTCTACTCTCCCTGCCTCTTCCCATGCTGAGCCCATTCCCTGTGTTTCACTCTGGGATCAGAGTCGGAAGTGGGGTTGCCTCTCTGACCCCTGCCCTAGGCTGGGCTAGAGGAATGTTGGTGTGGGGGGAGGAGGGGCATCTTCTCCCAGACCCTGTGGCGGCCTGGGATCCTATCCCTGCCCCAGGCAGTGCTCAGGAAGGGAGACCCGCTTTGTTTTTTGAAGGCCCTGGTTGTGGTCCTTCCTTCCTTCCTTCATGGTTCGAAGCTGCTTCTGCCAGCAGCAGCCCTGCTAACAAGGAAAATCCTCCTGGGGATTCCCAGTGCTTCTACAGTGAGTTTCGCCCCTAGAACCCTGGAGCCCCCACCCTCCCACCCCGCCCCAGTCAGGAGAGCTGAATGCAAGCAGAGACAGACAGAGCCACATACCAGGGTCTCTGAAAACGTGCTTAGGACCAACCATCCTGTTGGTGGGCACAGCACTGGCTGCCTCAGACACTAGCCCCAACCCATCATTCAGCCAGCACCCCCACTTCTCACCGGGACTCCTGCTGCCACTTGGCTGCCTTGTCTCTTGTCCACATCAGTCAGGAGGGGTCCCTGTGGGAAGGAATTGTCCCATCAGACCCTGTCACGTTACCCCAAAGCTCACAATTCATTCGGGAAAATGCCCACAGGGTCTGTCAGGGCTGGGCCTCTCCCCCTTCTCCGGACACCGGCCCCTCTCATCAGCTGGCTTCTCATCACTGGACAGCTGTTCTCTGAGAACCACAAGTCTGCGCCCACCTCAGCGCTGGGCAGTAGCTGTGCCCATTCCCCCCACCCAACTCCCCCTGTAGCTGGTGGTTCCATTAGACTTTGATGCCCAAATTGCCTGGATCTTAGTCCCCTCTTCCTGCCCTTGCAGGGCTCATTTATCTCCCCAGTGTGCCCCATCAGGCAACACGGCACAGACTGCCTTTCTTACCCACCCCAAGGCTAGGGGGTTTCCTTCAGTTTCCGACTACACTGCCGTCTCCATTTGTTGTGTGAATGGCCAGCTCACTGGCTGAGTGTCCGCCATGCGCCGGGTGCTGGGCTGAATGCTTGCCACACACTTTTCCCGCTTAAACTTGCATTGCGGCCCGGGTCGGCGTGGACAGAACAGACTGGTTCTTCAGTTTTACCTTCAGCACTGCCTACCTTGTTTTATGCCATCGACCACAATCCCCGCTCGGCGGCATCACTTCACCCACTTCCTCCCTGTGTTTCCTGTTTTCCTCCACCTCCTCCTCTAGCCCTTCTGAACTTCGTCCCTGGGCAAATGCTGCCCTTCTGATCTCTAACGGCTGGTTATCTAAGGCGAGTGTCACTGTTCCCCTACGGACCTGTCTATTGTTGGGCTGAAAACTGAGTCATGGGGGTGGGAGTAGTTCCAGGCCCAAGGGGCGACTAAGAGCCATAGTCTTGGGGGTCTCGCCAGTCTCTAGCCAATCAATAAGCCTGGTCCCTTTAATAATTTTGAGTTTGTTTCACACTTCCTCCCACTCTATCCAGGACTGTCTAACGCAATCCCTTTCAGGCAGTTGGTGGTGATAGGTGGGCACCATCTAGTTTTTCCGGTCTTGGGGGTCCTGAGGCTGATGTTCGAGTGGTCCACTGGACTGATCGATTCCATGGCCATATGTATAACTTAAAAAAATGTTCCTTTAAAAAAAAAAGTTCCTTTAATCCCCACCAATAACTCTGATGCAAGTATTGTTATGTCAGGTGACATAGGAAGTTATATGGTTCCAAATGGATTTGCTCCTGCTCTTCATAGGAGGCAGCCGGTCTCAACCTGGTCTTGCCTGTCTCCAAAGGCCAGCTCCTGGCCCTCCTGGCACATGTCTGCAGACATCAGCCTTCTTTGAAGCAGTCCACAGCTTTTCCTCAGCAGGAGAACAGCCCTGGCGGGAGGCGGAGCTAGTTGGGGGTAGCAACAGCCTCTTCCTCTTCCACTCACCGTCCTCCTGGGCTTATCTGCTCTTCCCAGAGCGGAGTGTTTCCTCGGACACTCTAACCCACGCTTCCATCTCACCGTCCTCCTGGGCTTATCTGCTCTTCCCAGAGCGGAGTGTTTCCTCGGACACTCTAACCCACGCTTCCATCCCGCATGCCTTCTTCCCAAGGATGGACGAGTTTTCTGCAGGAACGAGTGGGCGCCCCACGGCTGCGGCTCTTTGGAATGAAGCGTCCCCAAGCAGCGTTCTCATTTACTGGTCTGGGCCCAAGACCGGGGCTGCTGCAGACCCCCCACATCCCCCACAGTTGACCTCTGAGGGCCTGAGTGCCGGTTTGCTGTGGGTGTTGTTTTTGCTGAATGGAAACAACTGGCGCTCAGGGATGGGGATTCTGGAAAATTCTGGGAAAGAGGAAAATGCCTCTGGGGGCAAAAGTGTTTTATGTGGGTTCTTTTCCTTTTGGGAAGCCTTCTGTCGAGAACTGAGCAGACTGGCCCCAAGTCAGCCTGCAGCAGCCAGCCTTCCCGTCTGCCTCCTCAGGGCCCTGTGTTCATTCTTCCAAGGACTTTCCACGTCACCCACTGTGAGTGTCAGCAGGTGGGAGTCTGAAAAGAGGCTGTGACTTGCTTGGGGCTCAGTCTATGGTTCCACTTCTCCAGTGGCCACTGGACGCTTGCTGTGTGCAGACAGGGGGATTCAGGAAGGAGCTGCTTCCTGGCCTACATGGTGTGGGCATCCGGCAAACAAATACAGCACAAAGGAGATGCAAGCAGGAAACACAGGAGGCTCTGCTCTCAGCAGGCGCTCAGTAAACAAACGTTGGTGGAGGGAATGATGAAAGGGCAAAGACATGAGATGGCATCTGGGTTTAGTGTGGGGCTGCTAGCCACAAGGCTGGTGCTTCGACCCCTTCAGCTGTTCTGAGGGAGAAAGACGAGGCTGGCTGCTCCCGTACAGAGTCACAGCTTTGCAAACCTTGTGTGTGTGTGTGTGTGTATGTGTGTATGTGTGTGTGTGTGGTGGTGGGGGGGGAGGGCAGGCCTATAGGGTCACTATGAGACAGTAGACTGGTTGGCAGTGGGGTCTGGCAGTCTAGGGAAGGGGGACTTGTGGGAGGGTGTAGGCAGCACCAGATGAGCCAGGAGTGGGGCGGAGATATGGCTGGCATCTAAGTCACAGGGCACAGCTCCTGCCAAAGCATCAAGGCCAGTCGTTTGGCATGAATGAAGCACAGAGGAAAGAGGTGAGACTGGGGACCCTGCCAGGGACTCGTCACGGAACCCTGAGTGCTGAGGTAAAGTCTTGGACTGCTCCTGTGGGCAGAGCTCGGAGTGACTTCATGAGGCGGGCAAGGCTGGGGGGCTGAGGGGAGCTCCGGGATTGCTGGCTCAGGCCCTGGGGTGGATTGGGAGAGGCCACTGCAGAGAGGCTGCAGGGATGGGGAACTGCTAGAGCTGGGAGAGGGACCCGGGAAGCAGCTGGACTCTGAAGCCTGACCTCTCTCCCTCCCTGGCCTGGAGCACCCCACTTCTACCGGTTGCTGCCCTCCGTCTGCCACAGCCTGGGGCCTTCTGCCTTCCATCGGATGTCCTCGTGTTTCCCATGCACTCCTGCAAACCCATTGTCCCAAGTCCCTCTGACTAGCAGAGTCCGATTTCGCTGTGGGATGCGTCTAAGTCTCTTGCCTGGGCCCCAGGGGCCCAATGGCTCAGTCACGCTTGGCTTGGTTTCAGGGCTGAATCTGCCAGCATTTTCAGCTCAGCATGGATCGGGAATCAAGGGTCTTGCAAGGAATTTGGGGTAAAGGTGGGAGATGAACTAGAATGGGGGGCGGGGGGCGGGCAGCAAATAGAGGAAAGAAAACCTTTGACCAGAGGGACTGACACAGTACTGCACCGATGGCTCAAACATGAGAACACTTGTGAGAATGGCGCATGCACACAGGGTTGTTTTGAGCGGAGACAACTCACAACGACAGCGTGGGGGGAGGGGAGCCCTGGTAACATAGTGCACTAGGAGTTGGCTGCTCACCGCAAGGTCTATTGATCGAAACTACCAGCCACTTCGGGGGAGGATGACAAGGTTTTCTACTCCCTGTAAAGAGTTACCGCCTGGATCACGCTCAGGTGTAGTCCCACCCTGTCCTGCAGGGTGGCTATGAGTCAGAAACGACGAGGTAGCAGTGAGCGGAGAGGGGGGTTCGGGCACATCCGAGGCCGTAGTGGGGTGGAACTGAACCCAAACCAAACCCACAGCCAGGAGTCGCTTCACACCCTATATAAGGTTTCTGAGGCTTCGGGGTCGCAGACAGCCTCATCTTTCTCCGGGCGAGCAGCCAGTGCCTTTGAACCGCCGACGTTGCCATTGGCAGCCCAGTGCTTAGCCAAGCACCACAGCGCCCGCCACCAAGGCTTCTGTGAGGGGGCGAGGGGGCTTCGGGGAGGCAGACTAGGCGACGTTACCCTTCTCCCCTCGCGGCTGTTTCCTTCAGAACCGATCTGTTGGCGTGGGGCGGCTCCCGGGGTCATAAATGGCCCTGGGGGTAGGACCCCTTTCAAGCTCAGTTCCACCCGCGCGGGCTCCGCCTATCAAACACCCCTCAGCACACCCCCCCCCCCTTATCTGCTGCTTTGTTTGGTCCAGTTTCATGAACCCCGGTGCCAGCCACGGGCGTCTGGAGAAAAAGGGGGACACTCGGAGGACGGCAGCAACCCTCCTGGAGAGGCAGCCACAGAGCAGGGCGGCCGCCAGGGTCCCCACGATCCGCGGGCGTCCCGGGAGCCGCCCGCAGGTGCCTGCGGGAAGCACGGCCCTGCAGCTCGCTGCTCGCCTGCTCACCCGGAGCGGCCCAAGTTCCGTAGCCCATAGCAACCCGGAGGCGTCGCGTCCGGCGGGGGTCCCTGGGCTCTCCCAGAGGGGAAAAGGGGCGAGGGGGCACGTGTGGTTGTCAATTA